ATGATAAACACTCTCAAGGAAGTGGAGGCTAACTCCCCCATTCCTTAAGTGTGGAACTGCGTATAGTATCTTTCTTCCAACGAGTACAGTATTGAAAAAAGGGGGCAGCGAGCAACTTTATAGTGTAGAAACCTGACAAACACTACCTCAGCCAGGTGATTAAGGCTAGCATCAATAGTGTATGACAAGAAGGGCACTTACCTCTGTGGTCTTCCGTAAACCCACAGCCCTTGTAATTATGAGAAAAACATCCGACAATCCCAGTTGAGGGGCATTCTACAAAATATCTGACCAGTACTCCTTAGGACTGTTAGAGTCATCAAAAATAAGAAAAGTCTGAGTCACAGCCAAGAGGCTTCTAAGGAGATATGATGATTAAATGTAATGTGATATGCTGAATCCTGGAAGAGGAAAAGCATGTTACATAAAAATTAAGGAAATCTGAAAACAGCATTAGCTTTAGTTAATAAAAATGTATTAATACTGGTCCATTAGTTGTAACAAATGTACAAAACTAATTTAAAGTGCTAATAACAGTGTAGGTTATATAGAAAGTCTGTAGTATATCACAACTTTTCTGTAAACCTAAGTATTCTAAAATAAGTTTATTAAAATAAGTCCAGTTTGAAAATGAGCAGACATGCACAGACATCTTGTAGAAGACAATATATAGATAAGCCCACGAAAAGATGTTCAACATCATTAACCATTAAGGAAATGCTAATTAAACCACAATGAGATATCACTACACACCTATCAGAATGGCTTAAAAAGAAAATAGTGACACCAAATACTGGCAAGGATGCAGAGAAACTTTATACATTGCTGGTGGGAATGTACAATGGTATAGCCACTCTAGAAAAGTTTGATAGCTTCTTTAAAAATCAAGCATGCAACTACCATATGACCCAGAATTGCACCCTGGACATTTATCCCAAAGAAATAAAAACTTTGTCCACACAAAAATCTGTACATGAATTTACATAAAAGCAGCTTTATTTATAAGAACCTCAAACTGGAAACAACCCAGAAGTCCTTCAACAGGTGAATAAACTGTGGTACATCTGTATCTTAAGACTACTCCTTGGCAATAAAAAAAGTACTACTGATACAGGAAACAACTTGGCTAAATCTCAAGAGCATTATGCTGAGTATTAAAAAATGCCAATCTCTCTAATGGCTACATACTATACAATTCTACTTACATAACATTCTTGAAATGACAAAATTTAGAAATGAGAACAGATTAGTGGCTGCCAGGGGGTTTTGGTTTTAGCATGGTTGGAAAGGAGAAGCAGGTGTGGCTATAAAAGATCAACAGGAGGAAAAACTATGGTGAAAGAATTGTTCTATATCTTGACTACATGAATGTCAATATCCTGGTTGTGACACTGCAGCAAAGTTTGCAAGATATTACCATTGAGGAAAACTGGGTAAATGGTACAAGAAAGCTCTGCATCATTTCTTAAAACTGCACGTGAGCCCGGCTGGGCGTGGCTCAGCGGTTGAGCGTCGACCTAGAATCCAGGCATCGGGGTTTGATTCCCAGTCAGAGCACATGCCCGGGTTGAGGGCTAGGCAGCCAATCAATGACTCTCATCATTGATGTTTCTATCTCTCTCTCCCTCTCCTTTCCTCTCTCTGAAATCAATAAAGATATATTTAAAACAAAACAACAAAAACTGCATGTGAATTTACAATTATCTCAAAATAAAAATTTTAATTTAAAAAATACAGTACAGTAGTTCCCCCTCATCCATGGTTTTATATTCCATGATCTCAGTTACCTTTGGTCAGTTGCAGTCTGAAAATATTAAATGGAAAATTCCAGCAATAAACAATTTGTAAGTGTTCAATTGTGTGCCTTTCTGAGTAGCACGAAATCTTGCACCGTCCCGCTCCTCCCGCCTGGGACATAAATTATCCCTTTGTCCAGCATATCCACATTGTACATACACTACACTAAGATATTGTGAGAGATAAAGACCACATTCATGTAAGTTTTATTAAAACATATTGTTATAATTGTTCTATGTTATTAGTTGTTGTTAATCTCTTATTGTGCCTAATTTATAAATTAAACTTTATATAGGTATGTCTGCATGGGAAAAAATATATATATAGGGTTCAGTACTATCTGCAGTTTCAAGCATCCACTGAGGGTCTTGAGAACATATCTCCCCTCACATAAGGAGGAACGACTATACTCCCAGTTACACCTGAATTTCAGAAAAACAATCATTTTTAGTCCCAGTATGTCCCATGCAATATTTAGAACACACTTATACTAAAAGATGATTTATTGTTGATCTGAAATTCAAATGTAATTTGGAGTCCTATGTTTTATCTGGCAATACTACTTATGGCATTAGCTTACCAAAATAAAGTATATATTGTGAAATAAAAGAACATTTAAGGGGTGGCTGAGAGAAAATGTACCCTGATCCCAGAAGCCCCTAAAGCCTCACTCTTAGCAACTGGCACCTCCTCTGCTTCACATTTCATTATAGCAAATGTGCTACCACTGCCCACTACTGAAGAAAAGCCACACAGAATATAAAACCCTCCTGTTTAAAACACAAGAGTGAAAATTATCCAAATAATATTCCCTTCCCAATTTAAAATTTAAAATAGCTATCCCACTCCAAGAAAGATAATAATAATAATAATTAAACAGAATAGTCAGGAAGCATTTTCTAGAAATAATTTTGGATCTCAAGTAAATTAACACTGTAAAAAAAATACAACCAAGAACTACTAGACATCTGAGAAACCTAACATGATAAAGATGGAGATCAAAAAAGAAGCCCTGGCCAGTGTGGCTCAGTTGGTTGAGCATTGTCCTGTGCACCGAAGGGTTGCTGGTTTAATTCCTGGTCAGGGCACATACCCAGGTTGCAGGTTGGATCCACAGTTGGGGTGTATATGGGAGGCAACCGACTGATGTTTCTCTCTCCCTCTCCCTTCCTCTCTCTCTCTAAAATGAAAGAAGGAAGGGGAAGGGGAAGGGGAAGGGGAAGGGGAAGGGAAAGGGAAAGGGAAAGGGAAAGGGAAAGGG